CGCGCCGCTTGGCGTATGTCTCAATGTCGGGGAACGAGGCCGCCGCGGGGCGCTCGCCCCGGCGTGGTCGAGCCGTGGCGGCGTGGTGCGCGTGGCCGCTTTTTGTAGTAGTAGTGGCGGTAGTGGTAGTAGTAGTAGTAGTAGTAGTAGTAGTAGTAGTAGTAGTAGTGGTGGTGGTGGTAGTGGTGGTGGTGGTGGTGGTGGTAGTAGTAGTTGTAGTAGTAGTGGGAGTACTAGTAGTGGTAGCGGTGGTAGTAGTAGTAGTAGTAGCAGTAGTAGTAGTAGTAGTAGTAGTAGTAGTAGTAGTAGTAGTGGTGGTAGTAGTAGTAGTAGTAGTAGTGGTAGTAGTAGTAGTAGTAGTAGTAGTCGTAGTAGCAGCAGCAGCCGCCGCAGCAGCAGTAGTGCTGACAGCGGACAAGCTGGACGTCGGCAGCCTTGTCAGCGGGAGGAGTGCAGGGGCAGCCTCGAGTGCTGCCCCCGCTGGCGGGCGGCAGGTGGACCAGGGGGTGAGTGGTGCAGGAGCGGTGGGCCCACCGCCGCCAGCACCTGCGCCCGCGACGCTGACCAGCGTGGAGGTGCCGCCGCCGCCGCCTGCGGGCCCACCGCCAGACGTCGAGTCCCAGCTGTTTGGCCCCGCGGTGGAGGGCAGCCAGTGGGGCGGGGCGGTTCGCGCGCTCCCGTCCAGGGTTTTCCTTCGCGCGACCGAGCGGCTCTGAGGCCCCAGGGCTCCATGGCTCCAAGGCCAGAGTGAGCGAACGAGTGAGCGGCTGCGCGCCTCCTCTGAGCGGTGCGCTGCGTCAGCGCCGCGCCAATTTTAATGCTTGCCAGGGCGCGCCAACTTGTGGCTGTCTTCTGAGGCTCCACCGTGGCCTCTCTTGTGTGCCCTATGCTACCTCGTAGCGCTAGGGCCGCCCCGTGGGCTGCGGGCCGTTCGCGGCGTCGCCGTGCAGCCCTCGGTGCTCCAACTCAGCGACCAGCCAGTTTGGCTTGCCCTACCCCGCATTTCGCTGTAGGCCCTTGCCGCGCAGGGCCTCCCGCGCTTCAGGGGTCGGGCGGTGCTGGGATAGCCCTGTGTGCTGCGCGCCCCGTGCTGTTTTGGGCCAGGCCCGTCCCGATGCGCCCTGGCGGTCGCGCCTGGGGCGAGCGGCGCCGGGGCGGCCGCGTGCGCCATTCATCTTGTGGCTGTTTTGGGCCAGGCTCGTCTTGATGGGCCGTGGCCGCGACGCTGTAACTTCGCCGATCCGCGGCGTGTGCCCCGCCTCTCTCCGCGCCCCGCTTGGCGTATGTCTCAATGTCGGGGGGCGAGGCCGCCGCGGGGCGCTCGCCCCGGCGTGGTCGTGCCGTGGCGGCGTGGTGCGCGTGACCGCAATTTGTAGTAGTAGTGGTAGTAGTGGTAGTGGCAGTAGTAGTGGTGGTAGTAGTAGTAGTAGTAGTAGTAGTAGTAGTGGTAGTACTAGTAGTGGTAGTGGTAGTAATAGTAGTAGTCGTAGTAGTAGTAGTAGTAGTAGTAGTAGTAGTAGTAGTGGTAGTAGTAGTAGTAGTGGTAGTCGTAGTAGTAGTAGTAGTAGTGGTGGTAGTAGTAGTAGTAGTAGAAGTAGTACCAGTAGTAGTAGTAGTAGTAGTAGTAGTAGCAGGAGTAGTAGTAGTAGTAGTAGCAGTAGTAGTAGTAGTAGTAGGGGGAGTAGTAGTCGTAGTAGTAGTAGTAGTAGTAGTAGTAGTAGTAGTAGTAGTAGTAGTGGTCGTAGTAGTCGTAGTTGTAGTCGTGTTCGTAGTGGTGGTAGTGCAAGTAGTAGGCGTAGTAGAAGTAATAGTGGTAGTAGTAGTAGCAGCAGTAGTAGTAGTAGTAGTAGTAGTAGTAGTAGTAGTAGTCGTAGTAGTAGTAGTAGTAGTAGTAGTAGTAGTAGTAGTAGTAGTGGTAGTGGTAGTAGTAGTAGTAGTAGTAGTAGTAGTAGTAGTAGTCGTAAGTGTATTCGTAGTGGTGGTAGTAGTAGTCGTGATACTTGCAATATAGATTGTGGTCGTGACAACAGTCGTGGTATATCGTAAAATCAATGCGGAGGATAGCACGTGCACGGGGAACCGCAGGGGGCTTGCGTGCCAAGGATCATACATGTTCGGGCGCAGATGGGGGGCCACGGGGCGGAGCGGGGTGTGCGTGTTTGTGTGTGTGCGTGTGTGCGTGAGCGTGCGTGTGCGTGTGCGCGTGTGCGTGTTGTGTGTGTGTGTGTGTGTGTGTGTGTGTGTGTGTGTGTGTGTGGTGTGTGTGTGTGTGTGTGTGTGTGTGGGGGGGGCGTGGTCGGTCGGTCGGAATATGCAGACAGGGGGCCGCCGGGGGGAAGGGGGGCTGGGGGGCGGGAGGGCGCGATCGGGCGGGGGGTGGGGGTGCGGGCACGGTCGGTCGGTCGGAATTGGGAGACGGGGGCCGCGGGGTGGAGGGATGCGGGGGGGGGGGGGGGGGGGGCGCTGGGACGGGAGGGATAGGCGCGCGACGACGAATGAAATTATTCAGACGCAAAATGCGAACAATGCACATAATCCGAATCAACATGAGATTCGTAAGAAGAGTACGCATACGAAAATTACGAATGTTAATGCTAGTGGGCAAATCACGAATAAGAATAATACTACCAAGTGTACTAATTCGAATAGTGCGCATGATAACAACACTACTACGAGGCTCAGTAGTTATAAAAACCTTATACGAATACGGCCGCGAAAGATAATGCGAATATATATAGAAATGATAATCCGATTATTCCTTTTACAGATAAGACGGCTGATGCCGGCGCGGCGATTGGGATGAATCGTGTCTTGAAGATTTTGAAGACCGAAGCTCGCAGTACTAATCGCGTTGATAAGTACAGCAATCATGATACCATGCCACATAACAAACATATGAACAATACCGGAACTACCAGACAGGATGCTAATACATGCCCATGTGAATATCATCAACAATGCTGACACGGGTTTTCGTATTATTATTGCGGGTCGCTGTGCGAAGTATCCGTGATACTATCAATGATGGTAACATTAGGGATTTAGTAGTACTATTGATACATAGCAAGAGCAATACCACTATTCATACCCATAGTCGTAACCATATTTTTACTAGTGTAGTAGTAGTAATTTGCGTACGGATCACCATCATACTAATACGTATATGCTACTGTCAGTAGTGATACTGCTACTTCCTCTAATAATCGTTATACTAGTTTTTTTTTGTTGTTGGTTGCTGTTTCCTCTCTCTCCTCCTTCCTCATCATCATAGTACGATTACTCGCATTAGTTGAGTATCGGTAGTACTAATAGGAAGTCTGAACAATACTATTAACAACAACGGTACGAACGCAAATTTATGAAGATACGAATGAACTGCATACGGATAACGAATCGAAATATCACTAAAGATGATATTAATGATAATACAGTAACAATACTGATGATAGGAATGATAATAACAATGAGAATACGAATGCGAGGAGGAGGAAGAGGAGGAAGAGGAGGAGGAGGTTGAGGAGGAGGAGACGGAACATGATAATGAGGAGAAGGAGGGGGAGGAGGAACATAATGCGGAGGATGAGGAGGATGAATCGTAGGATGGGGAGGAGGAGGCGGAGGAGGATGCGCAGGAGGAGGAAGAGGAGGAAGAGGAGGAGGAAACGGAAAAAGGAGGAGGAGGAGGAGGAGGAGGAGGAGGAGGAGGAGGAGGAGGAGGAGGAGGAGAGGAGGAGGAGGAGGAGGAGGGGGGAGGAGGAGGGGGGAGGAGGGGGAGGAAAAGGAGGAGGAGGAAGAGGTAAAGCAGGATGAGGAGGAGGTGGAGGAGGAGGAGGAGGAGGAGGAGGAGAGGAGGAGGAGGACGAGGAGGAAGGGGTGGGGGGAGGAGGAATGAGGAGGAGACAGACCATGAGGATGAAGAAACGCCATTTGAGGATCAGGCGGCCGCAGGAGTTCGCATGCTTTCCCGTGTCGGAGGATCGTCGTCGGAGCTGGCCGGAAGCATGGCGAAGACATAGGTAGAGGGGGGACGGAGGAGGAATAGACAAAAAGAGGAAACATAGACGAATAGCAATAATAGTAGCAGGAAAAGGAAACGCATATCCATATCAGTAAGGATAATAATACATAGTCATCAATAGCATGAGCAGAAGCATATGCATATTTTTATTTCTATTAACATAATCATAACTAGTACAATGCGAATCGCGATGGTACTAGTAATGCTACTACTCATACTGAAATCATTAGTACGAACAAAAGTTATCATAGTGATCATAAGATGAGAAGTGCGCGGCTACTACTGATACTTTTAAAGCTACGAAAAATGATGACCATAGTAATAATAATCGTGATGCCAAATAATATTAGATATAATAGTACTGACGGGTAATAATCAAATTAATACTACTACCGGCAAGACTGACTGAATCATTGATACCAGTTCTGATGATAAC